TATTACATTTTCCTTTAGAATTGGTTTATTTTTTAAATGATCAGTTAATAATCCAATCAATTCTTTTCTAGTTTTATCTTTTATTTTAATACCATTTATAATTGATAGATTTTGAATAAATTGTAATGATCTATATTTTAGATTATTAGGATTTTGTTTGATATTATTTAATTTTTTAATTAGTTCATCTCTATTTAAATTGTCAACATTTCTAACAGATAATTTGTTAGCAATTTCTTTTAATTTTTCACTGTTAAATAGTGAATAATTTGTTGGATCATATGACTTCTTTAATTCTTTTAATTGATCTAATTTTTCGTTTTGATAATCAACTATTTTATTTTGTTTACACCAAAGTTTTAAGTTATTAACTTCAGTTTCATATTTAGTTTTATTTTCAAAATGTTTCTTTGAATTATAATGTCTATTATAATTTTTAGATAATATATTCTTATTACAATAAGGGCATAATATATTTTTATTTGTACGCTCCATTTATTAGAAGAAAAATGTGCACGATTTATTAAGAATAATTTTATTTGAAAAAATTATTGTTGTAAAATATAAATATTAAGATAAATATTTATGTGTTAATTTAAAAATTATAAAAGTATTTTAAATAAAACTTAAACTTTTTTAAAACCAGTAATTTTTTTAAATAATACTTTCAAAAATTAATATTATTTTTATGAATTTTCTAATTTATTTATGTTTTTATTATGAATTTTAGTTTGTAAATGTTTTTGAAGATAACTAAGCCATTTTAAATCTCTACCACTTCACAATGGGTTGTGACTCTCATCATTTTTCTAACACATTCAATACAAATTGCAAATTTTTTATCTTTACTATAATAATGTTTATGAAAATTTTCCATATCTTTTGTTTCCTTACAATTCAAACATACTTTTTCACTTTTTTCTTCTACTATAATATTATCATATAACTTTTTTCTATAAATTAAATCACATTCTTTACAATATGAAAGTAATCCATCTTTATATTTTTTATTTTTATAAAAATTATTAATATTTTTTAATTGTTTACACTTTGAACATTCCTTCTCCATTTATATAGTATAAAATTTTACAAATTAGTTTTCTTCAATTCGTAATCATAAAAACTACCAAGTATATCTTCATCATTCAAGTCTTTAATACTATATGTAACAGGATTTGTATTATTAATTCTGGAAACAACAAATATTTCCCTTGACCAATTGTTTTTATATTTATTTGAAAAAGTTGATATTTTGTTTCCTATTCTAACTCTATCATTTATTTTAAATTTAGATTTTGTAATTATTTTTGGTGGGATATATTTAAAAACTGTATTTAATAAATCATTTTCATTTTCTTTATTTACCTCAATTGGTTTCATTTTAATTGTTGAATGATATGAATTATTATATTCTTTAACTATTTCTTTAAGAATATCAATCCATCTAAAATTTTTATTAATTTCAAATAAAACTTTCATTTTTTCATTTTGAGTCCTATTATATCTTTCAATAATACTTGATTTTTCTTCATTTTCTGTATGATACATTTTAATATTATATTTCTTTAAAATTCCATTAAATTCTTTATTTACAAATTCTAATCCTTTGTCTGTATGTAATAAGTTTGGTGGTTTATGGCCAATTTTTATTGAATCTTTAATTATTTGTTCAAATGCTATAGATACATGTTTTCCATCTTTTTTCTTCAATGGTTTTGACCAAACATATTTAGAAAATGTATCAATAACATTCAACATGTATTTATAACCATCATTTTCTTTTTCATAATTTTTCATAATGATTAAATCAGCTGCCCATAAATCATCAATACCTAATGTAACTATTTTTCTTTTTCGAAATTTTTTTCTTATTAGAGCATGAATTTCTTTAGCTTCAATTATTTGATCTTTTTTATTTAATTCTTTTTTTATTATTGGTTTAATTTCCTTTTTAATTATTTTACTTTTATTTGTTTTACAAATTGAACATTTAGTAGCAATTCTAAACAAACCATTCTTCATTTCAACAATTTCTGGATTAATAATTTTAGTTTTCTTCTTACATTTATGACACTGAATAAGTTCTTCCATTTAGATATAAACATTTTATATATAAATGGATATATGTTATAGATGTCGTAATTTTAATAACTTTACAATTATTAAAAATTATATAGGATGTAATATATGTAAAAAAACTATTTCTGAAAAAAAAGATTAATAAACGAAAGAATAAGAACAAACATCTTATAAATATTTTAAGAGAATTTAATCATTTTCAACCATATCGCACACAACAATTAATCAATGAAATCTATACATTATGTATTTTAGACAATAGTTTTGAAATAACACCTAAAAATATAAAATTATTCTTAAAACAAAGAAATTATACAAACTGGATATTTTACTATCAATTCTTAAACAAAATATTCAATATTGATTTTGAATTAAATTTTGAAGATAAAAGAAATATTACAGTAATTTTTAATGCATATTTCAGTTTTACAAAAAGAAATATATCATTTAAAAAACTATTACCAATGATTTTTAAACTTTTAGAATTGAATTTTTATATAAAACCAGAATTTGATGATATTTTTTTAAAATTCTTAAAACATCTATCAACTTTAAATGATCCATGCATAATAAATTAACATAATGGTTTTTCTGATAACATAAGTGATACATCAGATATTATTTAAAAAAATAGAATTTTAAATATCACACAACAGTTCTAACAAACTGTTGTGTGATATTTAAAATTCTTTTCATATATTTCAATTATTAACTGTTTAAAATTTCTATAATTATTTTTTGTAATAAATGGATCTATTAGAAGAGATTAATAATATTGGAGAATGTAAATTCAAAGAATATAAACCAATAAAAAGTTTAGAATTGAATACAAAATATAAAATAGAAAAATTTGAAAAAGTTAAAGATAAATATGGACCAACAATTATTGTTGAATTAGAAAAATGTAAAGTTCATTTACCTCATAGATTTATTAATATATTTGATGAAAAAACAATTAAAGAATTAAATAAAAAAGATTTAAACTTAATTATTACTGAAATTAAAACATTCAAAGATAAAGAAACTGTTTTAGTTAAATTTGTATAAAAACTACTCATTAAATTTTAAAATTTTACTTGTTTTTAAAAACATTTCAGTTTGTAGTCAATTTTATGTAAAATATAGACATATTCATGAAAATTTCATCAAAATTATATACTTTTTCTAGAAAAATATGAATATGTTAGAAATTGACCTAAAAGGGTAAAAAATATAGCATATTGTATAAAAAAATAGGAAAATTCATTTAATTTTTGAGTGGCTCCTTTTTTGGCCCAGAAGTGACATGAATATATCTACTTGTGTTATATTATATACTGTTTTGAATACACTCATAAAACAGAGTAATTGTTACTTTACTGTTGATTGTCATCAATATTGTAACATAACTCTTTTATGGTTACTCCATGACTATCCCAAACCAACGAATTACTAATGTTTATATTAGTATTTTTTACGATACCGCGACTGAAAAATCACGTTTAATAAATAATAACAATTATTGTGGCCTCCAAATTCACTACAAAACAGTGCTCAATTCTTTATGATAAATCGCTAAATGAAATTGATTGGCAAATATTGAACCAAGCTTTTAGTAGACATAAAATGGACTAGGACTCAAATTCAATATGTATTAAGTTCGATATATACTAATGCAGACCAAACAACAATTAGATAAACATTTTTTTGATCAAATTAGATCAAATATAGGGAGTGCTCCCCAAAAAATCGCCTAAAGCTAGAAAGTGTTTTAATACCTTTTGGGGGTCCCAAATAAGAGTCCTGTGAGTTTGCGACGGATTCTGACGTCTGTTTAAGTTTTGGGAGTCGAAAAACCATAAAGATTTTGCACTTTTTTCAGTTCTTCGCTTATAACTCCTAAATAACGAATCCTACAGAAAATGTTGTCCAAAGGTCTCTTTTAGTGCATTACATTTTGCGTCGTTTGATGTTAAATACGTAAAAATCGGCCGAGCCGTTTAGCCTCTGTAGCTTTTTAAAGTTAGGTCATTTTCATCAACATGGCCAAAAAGTTGATTATTTGACCAGTTTTCGGCTTACAACTCCTAATCGACGCTTGCTATACAAAAATGCACCTTTTGTTAGTTTGGAAAAGACAACATTCTAAGTAATATGTTTTTTTTTTACTAATCAATAATGGCAATTGATTGCTACCTACTTTGTATGGTCACCATTTCATTGAAAAAAAAAAATTAATATTAAATATTTTCCAACTTTAACTTTAATATGTTTTTTCAATGAAATGGCGACCATACAAAGTAGGTAGCAATCAATTACCATTATTGATTGGTAAAAAAACATATTACGCAGAATTTTGTGTTTTCCAAACATACTACAGGTGCATTTTTGTATAGCAAGTGTAGATCAGGAGTTGTAAGCCGAAAACTGGTCAAATAATCAACTTTTTGGCCATGTTGATTAAAATGATCCAACTTTAAAAAGCTACAGCGGCTAAACGGCTCCGCCGATTTTGACGTATTTAACACCAGTCGACGCAGAATTTAATGTACTAAAAGATACCTTTGAACAACATGTTCCGTAGGATTTGGTTTTATGAGTTATAAGCGAAAAACTGAAAAAAGTGCAAAATCTTCATAGTTTTTCGACTCCCAAAACTTAAGCAGACGTCAGATTTCGTCGCAAACTCACAGGACTCTTATTTGGGACCCCCAAAAGGTATTAAAACACTTTCCAGCTTTAGACGATTTTTTGGGGAGCATATGTCTAATTTGCCTGCGTTATAAATGCTTCTGCTTAAAAGGAATATTTTAAGCAGAAGCTTAAAATATAATTCTGCTGTTATTTATTTGGAAGGATTTTGGAAATTGTAAATTATTGTGCGTTTGTGTTAACTTACAAATGCAAAACTAGCGATTCTACAAAAGTAAGCAGATACTTACGGAACAATCTCAGTAACTATCAAACTGTGCCTACAGTTCTCGCACTAAACTTAAAAAATATTCTCATGTACAACGATTTAACTCGAAACAGTAATAAATATAGGACACTGATCAACAGCAGTGAACGGTGTAGCAACTGTGATACAGGTGTTCGCACCAGATATTTGGCCTTGGAAGTTTCACCACATTTCATAACCAAGGGAGAAACTAATAAAGATTTAGCATATACCATGTTTAAATGTTATTACGCTTGTAACTCATAACTCATAACTCATTTATTGAACCAAAATAACAGATACAAAATTTGCATTGGTCATGTCAAATAATAGAACTAAAATTAAAATAAACAATAGACAATGTTGCTTCAATAAAACAATATCAATACTTCTTACAACAACAAAAAAACTAACTAACTAAACCCATCAGCGACACAATCTCGAACACTGTAGTAACCCTTGGCCAAGAGTATTTTTTTGATTTGCTTTTTAAAGCTGTTCATGTCCGACTCCAGCTGAAGGGAGGGAGGGAGGAGATTAAAAAGTTTAATGCCATTGTAATGAAAGTGTCTCTTGAAAAATGTAGTTGAATGAGATGGTAATTTAAGATGGGAATTGTTACGTAGTGAATAGGAATGTGTAAGTGAAGATTGGTATTGGTGTAAGTTTTTTTTAATGAGAATCAAAGTTTCCAAAATGTATATTGAGGGAAATGTTAAAATTTGTGATGAAATAAAGTATTGCCTGCAAGATGTTCTTCTTTTCAAACCAAAGCTGCCCTAACTGCCCTCTTCTGGAGTCGGAAAAGGAAAGACGTTTTCCCACACTCATACCAAATTATTACTTTGTAATAATGAATTGTAAAACACTCGTTAAAAGCACGCCAAATATTGAATAATGACCCTTTGTTCAGTAGATCTCTTATCTTTCTCAAATCGAAGAAAGTTGTGGTGGCAAATTAAAATGTTGATACTTGTTTTGTTGTAAATTGATTATGACGATGTATTTCTTGTGTGGCGTAAAACTAACGTATTGATCATGAACGAAAATACTCTAAAAATAAACATTACCTTGTGCTTAACTAGCAAACTTAACTTAACTTTACAAAAATAACATAATAATAATAATAATAACATAATAATATCTTAACTAGCAAAAATAAACTTGTTTTGTGATAATTGTATTGTTCAACTTTCCAAAAAATGTATAACAATAGATAGATTATTTTCATCTGAGATAAAAAAGCTACTGTAAATAGTAATTATAATCAATTGTGTTACCACAAATCTGAGACTATGAGTAAAAACCTATTTCAATGTGAATTGAGTTGGTTTTTATGTATACTTCAAGCCATCCTTACATATTATTAAATTTGAACGCGTTACCGACAAGCACTAAAAACCTTAAATGACTAATGTAAATTGTGGTAATGGAAAGTGTAATGTCACTGTAGTGTCCCTCAGTCTACAACACAGATTGAAAATAATGGAGCAAAACAAAATGGTATTAAAAACATAACATGCAAAAGAGGGTTGATATTGTATTATTACCTTCACCATGGTTTCGCAATGTTTGATTTTAAATTTACCAAACAGTGCCATATTTATTGCTTAAGAATTTATGAGTTTTTAGTTTTGAACTCTTTTAATAAATATCCATTTTAACTCTTTTCAGATTATCAGTATACTGTGAATACATAACGATACCCGCATTTTATATCACTTCTGCCAAGCTTGTATTTTCGTTGATATTGCAACATTTACAGCTGGCAACGGTGACAGCCCGCATGAGACAAGATAATTTGAGTGAGGTGAATAAAAAGTAGTACATACTACGTAGTTCGTACTACGTAGTTCTAGCATTTGCTCAAATCGATGTGAATAAGAATTAGCTAGAACTAGGTAGTAATTACTAGGAGTTCCCTAAATGATGTAGTATGTACTACCCTCTTAGTACGTACTACTCCCTAGTACGTACTCATAATCAAGACACAACTGGCGCGTGGCGATAATCTGTTTGCCATTTCTGTCTGCACCTGCGGTTTTCTCAGTCGTGTTGATCAAATAGTAGTATTTGGTTAACTGCGCTTGGCGACGATTTTGATGGCGTTGACCAGGTACTGCTAGGGAGTGATAGGGCTTTAATAGTGATTAGTGAGCTGCGAAAAAAAACATTTCTATTACTTTGAGAAACCTAAAATTCCGGGCGTGGTAAAGGGGAAAAGAGTGTGAGGTTGAAAATTTTAGATGATACAACAAAACTCTTGGTAAGGATTTTAACATATAACATGAAAACTCTATGAAGAATAAAACGGAGAGGAATGTTATAGAAAATAAACCGACTAAGCTTAGAGAAGGAATAGAGATCTGATAGGAGTAAATGATAAGAAAAAAACTAGTTGGTAAACAAATCAACAATATTATTCTCAAATCACAGTAATTTCTTACAGTTACAAAATTTCTTATTTAAAGGTACGTTTTACTGGTATTGACTTGTATAAACATCGCCATCTTCGTAAACGACCAAACTGAAGCATGCCCATGAGCGTACTACATAAAAATGAAGTAACTACTATGCGGGCCGGTTTTTATTCACCGAAAAATCCTAGTGGATGCTACGTTCCCTAAATGACGAAGTATGTACTAAGGGTAGTACGTACTAGCATTTTATTCACCGAAAACCGAGTAAATACTTCAAAAAGAAGTACGTACTACCAAATACTACCTTTTATTCACTTCACCCATTATGTCACCACCTGTAACGAGTGCCCCTTATATTTTAAATGTTAAAGTATAAAACACCCTACACAGACCCAGTTCGCAGACCCATTACACTCTCATAAGATCGCGGGAACAAAAGTATTTGTCATACTTTGATTGCATCTCCAGTTTGTTTTCTCACAACAGTGAAAATCTCCAATACTCTTCTCTACCAAAACAACAGGTAGTCATATAATCGTTCCAGATGTAATGTAGCAAGTCTTTGCATATATTAACTGAGAAGGATCAAAGTTAATGCTGTTTCGTAGTGGTAGTGTTTATACATAGTGTTTATATCTTTCTTTACTAGTTTATAAATCGTCTAGAAAGCTTATTTGTTTTTTCCATGTATCAATTTTATTATTGTTTGAAAATTTATTCTCATCGTATCAGTTGCGATCCCAGGATTACTTTTAGGGGGATTGACCACCGGAAAGTCCGGAATATCCTCCAGAAAAAAGGAGGGTCCGGAGAAAAAAGTGGAATTTTAAGCCTAAAAACGTATTTTGATACGTAATTGAGCTCTAAAATATGCTCAAGCTAATATTATTTATGTTAGCTAATAAAAAATAAAATATTTCGGGGGGGGGATATATCCCTCCCCCCCTGGCCCACCACTGAATCGTATATATTAAGCTACTGTGAAAACATTACGAGTAAAATCCTTCTTCTGCTGGACATTCTTTATGCATTAGCATACATTACTTATAAGCTCATTCTTAATAAGCTCTGAAGCTAACGTATTTAAACTTGTCACAGCCAAGTCATACATAATAAATATGCAATATTGCTAAAGGGATCATTAGTAATCACAGATATGCATTGAAAGTACGCCATATTGTGACAGCTAGTCACACATGTTGGAAAAACTATTTCCGGTATGGATTTTAAGTTTTTTTTTAGGCTCCATGTAGAAAAAGTTTGGAAAAGTAATGTTTATATGAAAAGATGTTTCGTGAAATTGAGCAAATCCGCGGCTTAGCCGCTGAATGTTGCTGAATCTACAGCTGTTACAGCCTTATTGTACCACTAACGTATTAATATGAAAATTTTGGATACAAGCTTAATATTAGGATTTATATTAAATAAATAAAAGAAACGTCTTAAAACACATAACCAAGAGAAATTTTTATTGATGACTTGACATTCTTCGAACCTAATGATTTGCTCCATCCGAAGCTTGAAACAGCTGTAGTCATAGCAAGCTATAAAGGATCGTTTTGGATCGGCAGTAACAACGTAACATAAACCACCATAGTTGATAAAGTATAATTGTCTTGTATTGTAAAGCTATCTTTGTTTTCTATATTTACAGTGGTAAAGACTTATTAAAATGATGTCTAAATCATAATTCAACGGTATTAAAACCTTAATGAGACATGGTGCAAAATTAAATCTAATATATAAAATTCTCGTGTCACAGTGTTTGTCTGCAAACTCCTCCGGAACGACTTCACCGATCGTTATGAAATTTGGTGTGTAAATTCTGTAGGTATGCGAATCGGACGTAAACTATTTCCCGTTTCGAAATTCTTAAAAGGGCTCCGCCCCAGTGGCTCTGGAGTTTCCCATGTTAACCTTATGAGAAATGAAATTAATGAATCTTAACAGCTGTTTCAATTAAACAAGTTGGTTCTGTTCTATGATGTTCAATAGCATTAAAGTTACAAGGATAACCAACAGGGTGCAGCACTATTATTTCTTTTACATTTATGACAACAGCTAATTTGCAACCAAAAGGTGAGTGAGCGTAGCGAACGAACTTCAACCTGGAGGCGAGTGAGCGTAGCGAACGAGCTAACCTGAAAGCAAGTGAGCGCAGCGAACGAGCTCCAACCTAAAGGTGAGTGAGCGTAGCGAACGAGCTCCAACCCAAAGGTGAGTGAGCGTAGCGAACGAACTTCAACCAGGACGTGATTGAGCGATGCGAACGAGATCATCTTGAAAATTAAACGTAACGGTACTTTCTTTCCATCGGTCTGTCTTAGGGGAAACCTATAACTTAGGCGATACGAAGTTCGCCGGGTCAGCTAGTATTTTATATAATAACATTAAAGGCAAAATAGATTTATCTTCTAAGAACTATAGGTACACATTTTTTCTTCTACCAAAAGGGCAATACATTTTAGCCACATAGCGAAACATTTTCAAAATGTATCAATAGTTAGTTATTTGGTGCACAATACCTAGAAATATTTACATGTTGTATTGCTATTATTATTATTGAATTATTATAATTTTAAATTGAGATTCGCTGAGTTAAAGGTTTAATCAACGCTAAACAATATTTAACTTGTCGTACATGTCGTATAGCCTACTTATGGGAC